ACCACGTGGGTCCGGAGATTAAACTCAGGCTTGGAGGCAAGCACCTTCATCCAGTGAGACATCTCACTGGCCCATCATTAGTTCTTCTACACATGAATAACGAACGTGACAAGAAAGAAATGAGGAAAAACATTCCATTCACAATTGCTTCAAAAAACCCAAAGTGAAAGACCTCAACAATGAAAACTTTAAAAAAAACTGAAGAAAGAAATTGAAAAAGAAACCAGAAAATGCAATTTCCATGTTCACAGATCAGCAAATATTATGAAAGTACTGAAAATAATCTACATATTCAATGCAATTCCCATCAAAATCACAATGAAATTCTTCACAGAACTAGCAAAACAATCCTAATTTTGTGTGTGTGTATATCTTTTCCAGGTTGGCCTCAATCTCACAGAGATCCATCCACACCTGCCTCTACCTCCTGAGTGCTGGGATTAAAGGTGTGTACAACCTCACCCAACTCAACACCTAATTTTTGACAAAGGTCTGACAAAGGTGTAAAAAAAACCCAAAAACATACATTGTTAAAAAGATCTTTTTCAACAAATAATGCTGGGAAAACTATATATTTGCATGTAGAAGAATGAAACTAGATCCCTATCTCTCACCCTACACAAAGAAGAATTCAGAGATCTTTTAAAACTAAAAGAAAACATATGCATTTCAAGATAAAGGCACAGGCAAAAGCTTTCTTTTTTAGAAAGACTCTAATAGCAAAGAAAATAACCCCAAGAACTGAAAAAATGGGATTATATGAAATTAACAAAACTCCTGCATAGCAAACAATCACTAGAATGAAAAAACAGCATATAAAATAGGGGGAAAAATCTTTGCCAACCACACATTATATAAAGGGTTAATATCTAGAATAAAGAAACGCAAAAATTAAACACCAACCCCCGCAAATCTTCCAATCAATAAATGAGCTAATAAACTGTTAAGACAGTTCTCAAAAGCAGCAACACAAATGCTCAATAAATATTTGAAAAGGTGTTCAATATGTCTAGCCATAAGGGAAATGCAAATTAAAACTATTCTGAGAGTCTGTCTCATGTCAGTCAAAATGATGAACATAAAGAAAACAAATAATGGCAAGGAATTAGAGAAAGATGAATCTTTATACACTGCTGATGAGGGTGTGAACAGTTTTCCTAGCACTATTTGTTGAAGAGGCTCTTTTTAAGAATGTTTGGTTTTTATACTTTGCCAAAAATTAGGTGACTATAGCTGTGTGGGTTTTGCTCTGGGCACTCTATTCTCTTCAAATGGTCTATAGGTTTGCAGATACAAATCAGTATGGAGGTTCTCAGAAAACAAAAAAATAGAGCTACCACATGATCCAGCTATAACACTCCTGGGTATAGCTGGGTATAACCAGAAGGAAGCTAAGTTACCTTGTCACAGAGATACTTGCATATCCATGTTTATTACTGCACTGTTCTCAACAGCTAAGAAATGGAACTAGCCTAGATGTCCCTCAATATACACACACACAAAATACAATCATGACAGTTTAAAAATAGAGGTAGCAGTGAGGGTGGCAAAAACTGATCAGATTCATGATATATTCCAAGGAAGACTCAATAGAGATTTCCTAACAGATTGGCTGTGGTATATGATAGAAAGAGAAAAGTCAGCGATAACAGCACAAAGTAAAGTAAGTAGAGAGATTAGAAAGAATTAACTGAGACAGGAAAGACTAAAGGAGGACAGGTTTAGGGTGGGGAAAGGTCTGGAATTTAATTTTGGACATATTTAGTTCAAAATCCCTGGGTGACATCCAAATATAAACACCAAGCCTGTACCATAGGTTCTCACTCTGACTGCTTATCACAGCCAAAATTAAATGTTAAAGTAATAGCAGCTCAAAAGCCGTAAGTTCAAAGGAAAGGGGACTTTGGAGGCCAGTGCACTAAAACATAAGAGGCTGCAATCCAACAGCAACAAACAGGAAATACAAAAAAGGAGGCATGCATACTTGAAAAGCAGAGCAATCTAGTCTTATATAAGAGATTTTTAAAAACAAAAAACAGTATTTCAGGCCTCCTAAGGCTTCACTATAAGAGTGAAAGAATATAAAAATAGCATTAATAATAAAAAGAATTGAAAATTTTATTCAGAAAACATTTTTAATAAAGACAGGTAAAGCAAAATATACTTTCTCAATCACAAAAAAAAAAGGATTCCTACAAAGAATTATTCTAAATGTATTGGAAAATGTTTTACATGGCACCTTATTCTCTAAACAACAAAATAAAAGCAAAATAGGCACTACTATAAAATATTCCAGTTTCAGGGCTGGAGAGATGGCTCAGCAGTTAAGTACTGAATATTCTTGCAGAGGACCCAGTTTGACTCCCAGCATACACATGGCAGGTAACAACTATCCACAACTCCAGTTCCAGGGAAATCCAACGCCCTCTTCTGACTCTGTGGGCATTTGCACAACATGGGTGCACCTACCTACATGTAGGCAATACACTCATACACATAAAATAAAAAATTTTAAAAATCTATTACATAAAATATTTATTTATTGTATGTACATACACTGTGTGCATGTGGATGCATGTGTGCGATAGAGAACAATTTGCAGGAGTCAGTTCTATTCTTCTACCACACGGGTCCTGGGGATTGAACTCAGGTTGTCAGAGTTGGTGGTGGGTACTTTTACCTTCTTACCATCTTACTAGGCCTACAGTTTAAATTTAAATGAAAACCATGCCATACATACATATATATGTGTATGTGTGTATACACACACACACACACACACACACACACACACACATCAGAAATCAATTAAAGCATTAAGCATTAGTAAATTATCCAGAAATACATAGCAAAGAAAAAACAACTTTTAGCACTTTCTACACATTCATACTAAGAGCTGAATATTTGCTTAATATCAAGGACAGCTAACATTCAAAGATACTAGTCCCTAGAACACAGCAACATGTTAAAAATTAACTGGTTAAACAGAATTTTTTAAAAATTACATTGTGTGTGCGTGCGTGTGTATGTCATGTGTAAGTCAGAGGACATCTTATAGGAGTTTGGGAGTTGGATTCTCTGCTTCTACCATGAGTACCAGGGATCAAACTTCAGTTGTCAACTTGGTGGCTAACACCTTTACCTGATAAGCTACTATGCCAACCTGAATTCATTTTATTATATCCATGCAACACACACAAAAAAATCTTCTTCCTAAAGTAAAAAGCTGAGACAAAGTATGTCTTCCTCTAGAACACGTGCCCAAATCCTAAAGAAAGCTCCCTAAATCTAAGACAGCTGTAAAAGAGCTCCTGAAGTCAGTGTTCCTTTCCTCTCAGCTCCCAGGCTTTCTCCGGAATTTCCAATTTTTAATAAGTGCACATCAGCAAACTGGCCTATGGGATGGAAAGAGGTGGAAGAGCACACAGGTCCTTCTATTTGCAGGTTTCTATTGGCAGGTGTGCTAAGAAATTATGGCTGAAAGTCCAAGACCATAAAAACACAACAGATTATGATTCATAGACATAATGCAATTCAGGATGTTAATTTAAGCAACTATGCGTCAGTTCAAATCAGAAAATATTTACAGGGTATCAGCTAGGCACCCACACTTCAAGATTCCCAGGCTCTAATGACATGAATAATATAAAAACTATTTATAAAACAATTTCTTTAAGTAAAACACTCAAGTGCAAGTAGTCTGATTTCAGGAGTAGACTAAAGAACAAATGGAGCACTTGACAGCCCCTTAACAACTGAGATTACACAATGCCCCATTAACAGCTCGATAGTGCCCTAGCCCTTGCCATTCTGGATAATACCAGCAATGGAGAAATTCTTCCCAAGGCACTGTGCAATGGACAGGTAAACTCACAAGAGAATATTATTTAACTGTAACAGAGGAATATACTCAGTGTCTTGGATAAGGGTGGAGTGTCAGTCCTTAAGAAGTAAGTCACTGCACAGTATAAATTGAGCTAAGATGTTATATTCTGAAAAAAACTGCCTTGGTTTGCTGAGTGAGAACTATACAAGGTGAAAAGGAAAGGCATCATTCTACACAAAACTGGTCATCTAGTGGGCCTGCATTATTAGCTGAACATGTATCATGTTCTGCTGTCTTCAGTGCTAGACATGCAATATACAAGAAGAAAATAAATCAGAGTAACAGAAGAATTGTTCATATATTTAATAAAGTAGGTTTCAGATAGCTGGTCTCAGGTCTCATTTAACCTGGGAGTAAAATTAATTATTAAAAGCAGGGAGCCATACAAAGATTCAAGAGGAAAGGATTCTAGTAAGAAAGATTAACAAATATAAAGGTCTGAAATATAATCAACCCTGGCCAGTGTATATGGAACAGGAATACAGAAGAGAGGTAGGAAACCCAGCCAGACGTAGTTACTTTGAGATGTTAATCGCAAATTTGTTTTCTCTGTTCTTAGGATGTAACTAGTCTGCACCTCCTAGCTTCCCCTGAAGTCAAGTAGATCTTGTGACTGAAATCTGGACAATGAGATAAGGGCCAAAATAAAAAAACAATATGGGTATTTTGACTTCTTATATTGTTCTCCCATCTACCCCAATTTTAAGTGTCATTTTCAGAAGTTGCAAAGTAATTATTTTCCACATATCTAAGAAAAGGCTAAAGTTAGATTTGTTATATGCCACATCTTCTACTACATAAATCCTAATTTTCACATATTTCATTCTTTGATTTCTCTAATTTATATAGACGAGTCAAATAACATTTTACCTTTATATTTGCTCTAGGGCCCTAGTATACGATGCAGGTGGTATGGTGAGCATTCTTATTTACTTAGTACCTTTTAGAAGGCAATGAGGTAGTTAGGACTTCCAGGAATATTTTCACCAGAAAGAAGAAAGTAAGCAGACCTTCAATCATTTGGAAATAACACTAATTTACCCACAGTTTTTCAACAAGGTTGGCAAGACATCACTGCATTTAAAATGTACATGTTTGTTCATTGGGAACTTACCTATGTCAATATCAGTAAATCCTTCTGCACTTATTGCATCCATAGTGCTTTTGTCTATTGTGTCTAGACAAAGACTAGCAAGCTGAGGCTCATCAAATAACCGTGCCTAAACACACAAAGAGACAGTTATCTTACTTTCACGGTCTTTCACCTTCAGGCTGTGTACTTCAAAGTAGCTACTATGAAGAGTTCACATCGCTAATTATGTAAAAATACTTATAATTAGAAATGAAAAGCTAAGAATAAAAATGTCTTGCTGGATAATGAATTCATATTATCAACAACAATCCTGTTACTTTTATTTTCATATGTATACATATATACATCACAACCTATTTTCTTATGTACTGGTCAGTGTGCTTCACAGATCTTCTAGATAAGGCAGGCATTATCTCATTTCCATATGGAGGAACAGGTTCAACAAGTATACTGATTTGCCCAAGATCATCTAGCTAGATATGTTAGTCTAGTACTTAAATTTTTAGTTTTATGATCACTAAACTATAGCATCAATTATCAAGAACAATTAAAAAACACAAAGACCAGACTTTTTTCAACATTCCCTGCTGTGACTGGGGGGGTAGGAGAAGGGACTGTAAGAATTTTAGAGCATTATAGCTCCAGGAGCCTTAGCAAAAACTAGGTCTTAATAAGAGAATAAACAAATTGACATGACAGAATAGTACATAACAATGACATAAAGTGATCTACAACTATAAGCAATATGGATGAATTCCACAAAACTAATGATAAGGAAAAGAGGCTCGAGTATACAGTGAACACAAGAGAATATACATGATTTCCAGCCAAGCTAACTTAAGTTTTAAGAAGTCAGAAGCCAAGCTTAAATGTTCTATCAATGTATACAATGTCATTCAAAAACCAAACAAGGAAGGAGAATAGAAGACAAACTCAAGTGAGATTGTTTAAAAAATTGAAAAAGGAGGAATTATAATAAGCATGCTAAGGATTGAGCCCTTATTCTGACCTAGGGTCAATTCTGTTTCAATTTAATGCACAGATATCTACTAAGTACACAAACATGTTCATGCAGGACCACGCAAAAAGTCTGCTGAGAATACCAGAATGCTGAGAGTTAATTAACCACACCAGAAATGGCACCTACAATGTGGCACACCTGGTTGGGTACACATCTGTGCAGGTGAAAGCCTAAGGCAGAGGATGGGTTCAAGTGCCTTCCTCCATCACCTTATTTTTCAAAACAGGGTCTCTCATCTGAACCTGAAGCTTGCCATTTCAGTCAGGCTGGCAGGCTAGTGAAATCCCAGAATCTACTCCTCAGTGCCCCCCAATACTGGACTGACAGTCATGCACTGCTATGACCAGCTTTCACATGGGTGCTGGGGATTTGAATTCATATCCTCTTGCTTTTACAACAAGTACTCTTACCCACTGAGTCATCTCACTGAACAAATGCTCTCCTTGGATTATACATGGAGCTTGTCTATATTAATTTGCTTTGTCAATTTGTTAATTTTAGCTTTAAATAATATAATATTAACTCTACTTCCTGTAATTTTCCCTTAAAATTTGGAATTTTAAATTTACACACATGCGCATAACAAAAACAAAACAAAACAGGGGCTAGAGAGATGGCTCAGCAGTTAAGAGCACTGACCTTGCAGAGGACCCAGGTTCGATTCCCAGCACCCACATGGTGGCTACGAACCGTCTTTAACTCCAGTTCCAGGGGAATCCGAAACCCTCTTCTGACCTCCACAGCACCGCACGACACAGGTGCACTCACAAACATACAAGCAACATACTCATACACATAAAAATAATAGCCAGGCGTGGTGGCACATGCCTTTAATCCCAGCACTTGGGAGGCAGAGGCAGGCAGATCTCTGTGAGTTCAAGGCCAGCCTGGTCTACATAGCGAGTTCCAGGTCAGCTGGGGCTACAGGGAGACCCTGTCTCAAAAAGACCAAAAATAATAATAAAAAAATATTTTTAAAAACACAAAATAAAACAAAATCAAACAAAAACCTCAATATATCCTTTTATGTCTTGCTGGATAATGAATTCACTTTTAGATTATCTATCTAAAAGCTACCTAACACCTTGCTTCATTTGTTTATTCTCTCTCCCTCCATACATGCAAGCTTACACATATAGATATATTGGGGGGGTGGGGGCGAACCACTTTAAGAGTAAGCTGCAGACACTGTGGGCTTTTAAATTTCCTAAGAGTAAGGATATTCTTTTATGTAACTACAGTAATTAACTGTGGTAAATTCAACATTAATATACTATTTACTAATTTGTTGGTTATACTTTATTTCTAACTTTGACTGAATCATATTTTTATAACATTTTTCTTCTGGTCCAGAGTCCAATCTATAATCATTATTCATAATACATTTTTAAAGAAATTTAGTACATATTTATGTATGTATGTATGTATTTATTTATAATGTGAAAATCTATTATCAACAGGTATTTTAATTAGCCAATCCAACTATATTTTATTTGGTATTCATACAAAAAATTAATCTTCCAAGATAGGAAAAATAACTTTTTGTAAAATTATTTTATTTGTGGTAGCAACTATCTTTAGATGACATAGGCAATATTATTTTTTATGGAATCTACTGCTGCTACTTAGAGTAAAATAAATTTCTCCCAAATGTAGCACTATCCCTGGTAATACTTCACAAAAAGTGTTCTTTGTATACATCATGCTGGTAGAGTATGCTACCTCTTTGTTTTAGAGTGAACTTCCTTAGACTCAAGTAAATGAGCAGGCTTACTTTAAATCACTTTTAGGACAGGAACAAGTTCACATGACTCAGTGTTGGCCTGGTTCTCAGATCAACAAGACAGTGAAAGTTTTTCCTTTTTAATTTATTTTTATTCTGTGTGCGTGAGTGTTTTGCCTACCTGTATGTGCACCCATGCATGTAATACCCATGGAGGTCATGAGATGGAGTCATAAGAGGTCTGTGCTAGGCATGGATTAGGTCTCAGGGGATGGGATGGGGTGGGCAGCAACAGAGGCAGAGAGCTGAAACAGTTTAGTGAAAGCCATATGACAAGTAAGTGCTATTTTCGTGATTTTTTTTTTTTTTTTTTGTCGTCTTTTTGAGACGGGGTCTCCCTGTAGCCCCAGCTGTCCTGGAACTCACTATGTAGACCACGCTGGCCTCGAACTCACAAAGATCTGCCTGCCTCTGCCTCCCAAGTGCTGGGATTAAAGGTGTGCGCCACCATGCCTGGCCTTTTCCTGCTTCTTTAAAAAAAATTTTATTTATTTTTATTTTATGTGTATGCATGTATTGCCTGCATGTAGGTAAATGCACCCATGTTGTGTAATGCCCACAGAGGACAGAAGAGGCTATCGAATCCCCTGGAACTGGAGTTACAGAGAGTTGTTAGCTGCCATGTGCGTGCCGGGATTCAAACCCAGGTCTTCTGCAAGAACAGCCAGTGTTCTCAACTGCTGAGCCATCTCTCCAGCCCCCTGCTATTTTTTTTTAACAAAATATTTTATTATTTTTATTTTATGTGTATGAGTATACTGCCTGCATATATGTGAGTGCACCTGTGTTGTGCAATTCCCAAGAAAGCAGAAGAGGGCACCCCCTGGAACTGGAGTTGCCAACCATTGTTAGCTGCCATGTGAGTGCTGGGAACTGAAGCCAGGATCCTCTGCAAGAGCAACCAGTGCTCTTAAGCACTGAGCCATCTCTCCAGTCCCAGTTTTTTAGTTCCTTAATGGTGCAAAGTACATTTTTACCATGAGTAACACTTCATAAAGTTATAATAAGGACTAAATGAATTAGCATATTATAAAATGCTGAGAATGGTGCCTGGCACACAGCCATCATCCAATACATTTCATTATTATTAGCTTATTCTCTGGCATATATGGATTTCTGCAATTCTGTCCAAATAGAGGTGACATCAGCAAGGTCTTTCTTCTACTACAAATCTCTAAAAGTTTTTTATTAAGGCACCTGACATTTTCTACATGACAGAATGAACAATGAAGTGGAAAGATGAGCTCTGGATCTTGGCATCACTTATTATGGGATTTAGGGCAGGCAGTTAATTTGTGCAGATTTTAATTTCTCATTTGTAAAATAAGAGCTGACCTAGAAGTCATCAGTGATTATTTCTAGTACTAAAATTCAACAGGACTACAGTTCTTTTGTTTTGTTTCAGACAGGTCTTATCATGTTGCCCAGGATAGTCTCAAACTTCTGAGCTCAAAGTGATCCTCCTGCCTCAGCCTCCTGAGTGATGGGACTACAGGCATGTGCCGCTATGTCAGGCAGGATTATATTTTATCAACTCAGAATTTTACAAACAATTCATACAAAAGCATTATAATACTGTCTAAAATGAGTAATAATTTATTTTTATCTAAAGAAGCCTAGATTATAGACATTTAACAAATGTCAAATATATGTTAAGGATGGTTTAATGGTCCTTTGGGGTGTTCAATTTATTTAAAAAAAAATCATCAGACTGCACACTTACAATATGTGGTCTTTTCTATAAGGACACTGTACTTAATGTGAATGAATATTTCATACGAACCTAAAATTCTAATTGCTCTAGGAAGGAGTCAGGAAGCTTCCAGGTGTGGGTAGAGAAATAAAAGGCAATCTTGGAACTTTTCTAAATTTGAAATACTCAATCTTTATTTCAGATCCAGCAATAAATTGAGAATGGAGATGTATCATACTCATTTCACTATATCATACTCTCAGTCACAGCAAGAACAATGGATCGCAATCCCATCTCCAATCCTAGACAGCTCTCTAATGTAATAGTCCATCACCCCCATTTACATAAGGCTTCAGTTTCTTTAGCTATGACTCATCATTATATTAATTTGCATTTCTAGTCTAAAATCTTATGAATTTGTTATTTTCCTGAATGGTACCACAAAAATTACTCCAAATACTTTAAAATAATGATCTAGAATTCTCTAGGAGATAATAAATATTCACATATAATTATGCTTATACTTAATTTTTAAGCTACAACAAGATATACCTTAGCTACATTTACTTACCTGAGTAAGCAACATAAAGGCATTATCTGCCCTAAGATGTTTGGTGAGAAATTCTACACAATGTGCTTCCAGGGCAGGAACTGCATATTTCTTAGCGGTATAAAGAGTGGTCATAACTGTTTCTGGACCAATTTGAACTTCATCTGAATATAGAAATCTGGAAAGCAATTGAGAAATTTGCACAGATGACCAGCACTGTTTCAGACAAGCAATCCATTAAAACTAAACCTTGAAGAAATGTTTTAAAATATGAGCAAGCAAAAAATGCCCGAAACCTGCATCAAATTGTACAGATTATGGAGCACATGTACAAATATCATATTCCTATTCCTGAGTAGGAAGTGTCTCCATTCTATAGAGGTTAAAGTAATGATCAGGAGACAAAATACACAAACATCAGATCTTGAGTTCTTTTCAGGACCCCATAGCTACTGACAACAGTGGTTCACTAATTTCTCCCTCATGAAAGGACAATCCCTTTTTTTTTTTTTTTTTTTTTTTTTTGAGACAGGGTCTCCCTGTAGCCCCAGCTGTCCTGGATTCACCATGGAGACCAGGCTGGCCTCGAACTCACAGAGATCTGCCTGCCTCTGCCTCCTGAGTGCTGGGATTAAAGGCGTGTGCCACCATGCCCGGCTCAGGACAATCACTCTTTAAAAAAATCTACGGTTAGCTAAGACTACATCTCTAAATGTTGAGGCATTAATTTATTTCTTGATAGCAGAACCTTCCTATTCTGGGTATTTTTAAACCTTTGTTATCCCAGAATTAGCACAGATTAGAGGGCTGGAAATTTAGAAGAATAAAGTTGGCCCATATCTACAGGTTCCACATCTATGGATTCAACCAAATAGATATCAACAATATATGTAAAAAAAAAAAAAGTAGATGAAGAAATTGCATAGGTTTAAGCCAGCACTGTCATTTACTTGCTATGTAGCTTTGAAGCAAATGATCACGTGAATCTCCAAAAAGATGAAAATAACTACCTATTTGTAATATTGTGGTGAGAATTAAGATGTTAAAATAAAGCATTTTCAATAGAGCCTGACAAAAAAATTAACCTGAGCAAATGTTAGCTGTTTACTAATTATGTGATCTCATTTTTGTTGAAATTTTCCTCGCATTTTGGAACTTTTCTTCACTCTTTTCTTCTAGACTTCTTGTTCCCTCCACCCCCACACTCTTTAAATGTCTAAGAACTGCTTTATTCTTGTTTTCCTCTACAGCATTTTATCTTAGTTTTATCTGTTCCCTGAAATTCTGTGCTTCCATTTGTTTTGATTTTACATATATGTGACAAGTGGCCAATGTGTCCAAGTTCAGGATGGTAGTAGCTGGTCTATTTCCAGGTGAAACCATTTTGAAAACGGGAAGGTTGGGTTGGATGTTGAGAGTACGTGGAAAGCTTGTTGATCAGCACCTTGCCTTCTCAAGGGAAGCAGCCTTGAGATCAATGCCATTCTGAGAGCTTTACCCAAAGGTTCCAAAACCATCCCAGCAGTTCTACTTGTTGACATAGTTTGCTCAAATTAGTTTTTTTTAAAAAAAAAAGAGCCTTCAGTTTTCAGTTGTCATCAGCACTTCATCAAGGGATGGTCTGTAAGGAAGCTTTAAATTTAAGACCAGGTCTCTCTGTAGCCCCAGCTGGCCTGGAACTCGCTATGTAGACTAGGCTAGTCTTAAACTCAGCGATCTGTCTGCCTCTGCCTCTGCCTCCCAAGTGCTGGGAATAACCACCATGCCCGGCCTAGTTTCTGTTTTAGCACTTCTTTTTTCTTTCCCACTCTCTCTATAGGCTAGCACGCGCTGGGCTCTCAGGGTCCCAGCGCGCACTCCTGGGCAGTGAAAGTTCGTCCGCTACTGAGGTCTACTCAGTTGATCCCATCCCTATTTCACCCATATACCTTCCTCAGGATGTGAGGTCCACTGGCCACTTGGACCACATGGGAAGCGTACGAGGAACGGCGAAAGCCAGGGTGTGTGTGAGTCGGCGACGGAGGAATAGCGCCCCCCGGGGAGACTGGATCACAGGATTTAGTGTTACAGCTCAAGACAAGTGACTCAGCTCAGATCTCAGTGATTCAGCTCCAGCTCCAACTTTATTGGGGTAAAACTAGGACTATTTATAGTGTAGAGACAGCAGAAGAAGCCTTAGCTGATAGGTACTTTTAGGATGCCTCATTTACATAGGGCGGTGGGCTTCTATCAGGCTATCAGACAACGCCTGATTAAAAACCTGGTAGCTCCTGTGCCGGAGGGCATGTATTTGTGGCGAGCACTTTAAAAGAAGAGTCAGGGAGGATGCCAGGAAGGCACTCTGCTATGAAAGGAACCTGCAGCACATGGTTTCCGAGCTATCTGGACATGAAGAGATTTCTACTTTGCATAACAGAGGACCCCAACATCTCTCCACTATCAACTCCTAGTCTAGACCTGGTTGGGGTTTTGCCAAGAACAGCAGCTCCCTCCCCTCTCCTCTGCAGCTCCTCCTGCTCTGTCCAGATTCTGGGATCCAGACTCAGCCACTCTATTTCATCTATAAAGCTTCTAACTGCATTGTCTGCCTGCTACAGCATGGCCATTTCAAACCCTCAATCTTTTCTCTGGGATATGTATATTGTTGTTCATATTTTTTTTTATGTCTTTCACACATTTAAAAAAATATTTTATTTTTATTTTATGTGTATGAGTGTATTGCCTGCATGTATGTGAGTGCACCCATGTTGTGCAATGCCGCGGAGGTCAGAAGAGGGCGTCGGATTCCCTGGAACTGGAGTTAAGGACGGTTCATAGCTGCCATGTGTGTGCTGGGAATCGAACCCAGGTCCTCTGCAAGAGGACCTCTTAACCGCTGAGCCATCTCTCCAGCCTCAGTCTTTCACACTTTTTACAAAATATTTTTTTATTTTTAGGCTGGGTGTGGTGGTGCATGCCTTTAATCTCAGCATTCAGGAGGCAGAGGCAGGCAGATCTCTATGAGTTCCAGGCCAGCTGGGACTACAGAGAGCCCCTATCTCAAGAAGACCAAAAAAAAAAATTATTTATTAATTTTTTTATGTGTATGAAAGTATTGCCTTACACGTAGGTAGATGCACCCACGCCGTGCAATGCTCACAGAAGTCAGAAAAGAGCATTGGATCCCCTAGGGATAGTTATTAGTCGCCATGTGGGTGCTGGGATCTGAACCCGGGTCCTCTGCAAGAGCAACCAAGTGCTCTTAATCACTGAGCCATCTCTCTAGCCCTCTTTTATGCTTCTTAAAAATTATTTTAACTGAGAGAGGTGGGAGAGATAACTCACTGGTTAAGAGCACTTGTTACTCTTTTTTTAATTTATTTTTTTATTGCGCTTTTAAAATGTCATACATTTCTCACTCAAATCCAGACCCTTCCACCATCCATGCCTCCCCCTTTTCCCCCACAGAACCCTATGCACTCTGCCATATTTGCTGAGTCCTATTCATTCAGAGGACCTAGGTTCAGTTCCTAGCTTACATTCTTCTGTAACACCACTTTCAGGGGATCCCTGTCTCCTTTCCTTCCAACCTCCTCCCCTCTCTCAGCACTAGGGTTTAAGGACATGTGCTACCTCACCAGGCCTCCATTCTCTTCTTAAACTAGAAACCTATGAAGATTTTGTTTCAAGGACTAGGCAGTTATTTTTTGTTTTGGTCTTTTTGAGACAGGTCTCCCTGTAGCGCCTGCTGGCCTAGCACTCACTATGTAGACCAGGCTCGCCTCAATCTCAGAGATCAGCCTACCTCTGCCTCCCAAGTGCTGAGACTAAAGGCATGCGTCACCATGCCCGGCAGGACTGGGTAGTTTTTATTTGTATCTTAATACGTATTTTTTAAATTTTCAGGGAAAATTTGTTAGCATGGTAAAACAGAAATATGGAGGCCTTATCACCATTTGCTTTTGCATTTGAAGTATGTCCAAACTTATGGAGACAAATGACACTAAGCTGAAGCACATGGTTCTATGAGAATCTATGGTTGGGTTCTCTAATATAGGGAGACATGGAAAACCTAAGCACATTATAGTTTAAAAAGAAAGAGTATTGTGGGGTTTTTTGTTTGTTTTTAAGAGTATTGTGTTTTTACATTATTCTGCTTGTGACCCTTCACATTCAAATCGCTTTTATTAAGTTCTACTTTGGCATATACTTTTAGCTTCTATATCAAGGAACACTAATACTATATTAAAGAAATTATCTATCTAAAGCCACAGCTTGCAGACATTGTTCATTCTAAGGGACTTCAGTCAGGACATACAGTTCTTAACTGCTCTAGGTATTAGTTATGTATCTCTTAAGCAGTTGGCTTGTTTTTAATCTTAGAAACACTCCAAATTGTAACTAGTCAACCAGGTTTCTTTTTCTGCCTTTGTTGCTGAGATAATTATAATGAAGGCATGGCTTGCCCACAGCATACTCTTTTTTTTTTTTTTTTTTTTTTTTTTTTAAGTTAGCCTCATTCTCAGAGCTATTTTAGTTTTTAATCCTTGGACTTCATATAACACATTTAAAATTCTTTTTTTTTACAAATGCAAGTTAAAAACAAATACCAGATTATAAATAAGGGCTTTTTTCCCCCACTACAGCACCAGGGAACATGTGGACACATTCAAGTTTTAATGAATATATGTGCGCTGGATAGCTTTAACGTCAACTTGACACACCTGGGTTGAGGGAGCATCAGTTGGGGAATTGCCTCTATTGGACTGGCTTGTGGCCATGTCTGAAGGGCATCTTCTTGATGAGCGATGCGGGAGGGCCCAGCCCACTGTGGGTGGTGCCACCCCTGGGCAGGTGGGCCTGTGTTTCATAAAAAAGCAGGCTGAGCAGGGGCTAGGGGAGCAAGCCAGTAAGCAGCATTCCTCCAAGGCCTGTGCTCCAGCTCCTGTATCAAGGTTCCTGCCCTGAGTTCCTAGCTTGGGCTCCCTGATGAACTGCGACCTGGGAGATGTAAGCTGAATAAATCCTTTCCTCCCCAAGTTGGTATTGGTCAGAGTATTTTGTCACAGCAATGAAGAACAAACTAGGACAATATGTTAATAGACTAGGCACTTGAGGTTTCTATGTAATATCAACAGGGGAGTTATTTTCATTTCTAATAAAAGTTACTAAAAACCCAAGAATCATCTTGCTTATTTC